ACACACACACACACACCACACAAAGATGGAGAGGTCCTGGTCTAGGCTGAGCTGGTGTACATGGTGTTTTGGGGGTCGCTGTGAGCAACAGTTTGTGAATATTTTCAAAGACAACATTTAGGGGAGCACTCAGTGTTTGTAGTGCTCCAGAGGATCAGCGTGGATGGTTCCTGGGGGAGCTGGTGTAGACAGACACCAGCTTGGAGGCAGTCACCGATGGTGTCTAGGGAGCTGAAGCATATGGGAGTATCAGTGTAGATGGTACTCACAGGCAGCTGGTATAGATTCTGTCCAAGGGGAGGAAATCGGTATAGATAGCGCCCCAAATTAGGATAGACAGGGGGAGGTGGTGCAGAGTGTGTGTGTGTGTCTGTGTGTATGTGTGTCTCTGTGTGTGTGTGTCTGTGTGTCTATGTATGTGTGTGTCTGTGTGAATTTGTGCAGATGTTGCCTGGGAAATGTCGAGGGGAGGGTCAGTGTGGACCACTGAGGGGAAAGTAGTGAGATAGCATGCTTGGAGATGCCAGTGGGGGCAAGGATAGGCCACGCCACAGGGGAGCAGGTGTAGATAATCTTGGGGCTCCCAACTGGGATAGTGTCCAGGGGAGGAGAGGGTCACTCACATCTCACGACCAGGGTGATGGACAGCAGAGCAGGCTCCCTGAGGGTCTCATGCTCCACCTTACAGATGACCTCCTTCTCATTCATTTGGGCTGTAGGAATGAGGGTCAAGTGGCTGGTGACAGTGAAGGTGTCAGAGGCCAGTCCTGCTGTCCTGGTCTCATTGCTCTGGCCAGCTGGTGAAGAGGACCAGTAGATTCGAGCAGGTGGCCGGCCCCCACTGGAGATACAGGTGGCCATGATCATGGAGTCTGTACCCAAGGTCACCTCATGGGCCTCTACATGGTTCTTAGGTTTAGCTGGGAGAGAGATGAGAAGCTGAATAAGCCAAGAGATATTGTGGGGCTTAGGAGTGAATTAACCCCTTTCTTTGGGTCTCAGTTTCTACACCCATAAAATGGGGAGGTGAGACTAGCCCTCTTCCAACCCTAAGATTCCATATTCTTAGCCTACGTTCTAAGGTTCCAGTTAGTCTGTGTTCTATGTTCTAACATTCTAAGTTCTAAGGGCCCTTCTCCATTCCAGTTTGGAATTCTATGTTCTATGCTATAGGAAACCTTCCCCTCCAATTCTGATGGTCAGTGTTCTATGTTCTAAGATCCCTCTCAGCTTAGAACATTCTATATTCTAAGGTTCCTCTCAGCACCAACATTCTATGTTCTAAGGTCCCTTCTAGCTCTGACAGTCTGTGTCCCATGTTCTAAGTTTCCACCTAGTTCTGACATGAATTTTTCATAAGTAAGAGGAGAAGACTGGATCTGGAGGCTTCTAAGCCTCCAAGGCTCAGCTCTGGGTTGGGGTCTCAGGGTGTCCCGAGAGGTCAGCAGGAGAGAGCCAGTGAAGTCCCCTCTTCAGGACCCAGGCATCCCCCACCCTCCACTCTCCTCCCAGAGTCCTAGTGGCTTCTTTCTAGGTGCCCAGGTCCTCCCTTGCCCCCTGCCTTTCCTTCTCCTGGATTCTTACTTACCCAGCACTCTAAGCCATGTGGTGCCTTTGCTGTTCCCCCCAGGGAAGGTGGCAAACTCGCAGGTATAATTGGCCTCATCCTCCGCCCTCAGATCCCGAATGACCAGGGTGGCATCCTGGAACTCCGAACCCAGACTCTGGCTCTGGGAGATGAATGCCAGGCGTTCCGCACCAGGCCCCGTGCTGGGGAAACCAGCACCGTGGGTTGGGTGAAAGACGGCTATGCTCAAGCTGCGGCTGGTCTGATTGTGGCGCAGCCATGTCACCTGGGACACCTGGACTTTGATTTCCCCAGGCACCAGGTGGCATGGGAGCTGCACATCTGTCCCCAGGAGACCACGGACCACTGAAGACACATTCACCTGCACTGTTTGAGGGGCTGAGCAGGAGGAGGGGTGGGGGTTGGGGAGAAGAGAGAGGAGAAGTATATTAGGGCCCGAGATTGTTATTGATGGGGGGGGAGGGGGGAGGGGCCAGGGACCAAAATGGTGGAGAGAAGACACAGCTTTGAAATTCAATGCTTTGAGGTCCAACCTGACTCTAGTATTCCATGTTCTAAACACCCACCCATCCCTGATGTTCTTTATATTAAGGTCCCTCTCGGTTCCACATTCCACATTCTGAGGTTCCTCCCGACACTGTCATTTTATATGCTAAGATCCCACTAGTTCTGATGTTCTGTGTTCTATGCTCTGAGGTTCCTCTTAACTCTGATGTCCTATGTTCCAAGGTCTCTTCCAGCTTTGACATTCTCTTTTCTATGTCCTGAGGGCCTATGGCATCCTATGGCAGTTAACGGCAGGGACACTGGGGAGGATTCAATTCTGAGGAGGGGGGTCCAACGGAGGCCAGGAGGTTATTGGAGAGAAAGAGGAGGGAGAGTTGGTGTAGACAGGGAGGGGGACAGGAGTCAAATAAGAATAGAGAGGTCCTGAGGGGGGAGTCGGGGTGACTGAGGCCCAAGAAAGAAGATGGTGCTGACATAGAATTGTCTGGGAAGTGGGGAGAGGAGAGAGAAGCTCCCCTGGGCCCTCTGCCCAAAAAGGACAGAGCATTAGATGAAGAGGCTGGACTACATGGCCACTGGGGACCCTTCTCCTCGGTCTGCGATCCTGAGAATGATGGTCCTGAGAGAGGAAGAGCACATGAGCACCCCTGGGGGGTGGGGTGGGTGCACGGACACGGGTGTGTATGTCTGTGGGGTCAAGAGCCTTAGATCTGCCTTGGGGAAGGGAAGGATAGGGGAGGGACTGTCTCAGCAGAGGGAGTGAGTCGGGGCTGAGCTAAGACAGGTCACTTCTCAGGACACACACTGTGTCACCAAGTTATTCTGGGAAAGTGAAACTGATTCTGAGACTCCACCTTGCTGGGAATGCTCCCTCTTTCCCTGACCTAGGAGCCCAGGCTCCTTGATCCCCTGGAGTAGGACAGGAGGGCTCAGGGGGTGAGTGTATCTCATCTCTCTTCTCTTGGGAAGCATCCTGGGGGGCTGGGGTGGGGCGGGGTGTGGAAGGGGATCTGACCACTCTCTCCTCCTGCCCCTTTAAGGATATGCTGACCTGGAGGGAGCAGACTTTTTTCAGTCCCCGGTGGGTGGTAACGGGGCAGGGGGAGCAGGACAGGTGGGGTGGGCAAGGGTAGGTTTGGGCTAGGAACCTCTGAGACCCTCCGGGTTTTCTGACTTACCGGCTTCCGGGTGTGGAGGAAGCAGCAGCAGCAGCAGCAGCAGCAGCAGCAGCAGCAGTAGCTGGGGGAGGGGCAGGGAGCTGGCCTGGGCCATCGGGGTCTCTTGTGACCCCCACCAAGTCCCTGACTGGTCAGTCTCCGTCTGTGCCAGGCTGGATGTCACGCTCTGATCTGAGTCTCAGGCCCTTTGCGTCTTGGCGTCACTCTCCTCCCCCCGGGCTCCAGGCTCCACCCCCAAAGAAATTCTGACTTGCGCGGTCTGCCTGTCTGGGAAGCCCTGCCTCTAGCACTGCTCTCTTCTCCCTCTGGCTCTGCCACCTGCTGTGGTTTCCTCTTTCTGTCTACGCTCCCCTAATCTTGCTGAGAATCAGAGCATTTAAAAACCTGTAAAGACTTACGGGAGACACTCAGATTCAAATCTCACCTCAGATAGTACATCTGCAACTTTGGATGAGTCACCTCACTTCTCTGTGCCTCAATTTCCTCGTCTGTAAAATGAAGATTGGGAGGGACTAGCTGGTCTCTGACTCCAGCTCCTAATACGGGATCCTCTGGTCTATTTCCGACTCCAATCCCATGCAGGAATCCCCATTTCGGCTTTCCTGACAGATGGTGACCAGGTGCCTGCTGAACATCTCTGGTGACAGAGTTCGCTGGCTCCCACGGTAGCCCATTTCATTTTTTTTTAACAGCTCTGATTAGAAAAATTTCCCTAGTTTCCCTAGGAAACTCCTTTCTGGCTTTCTAACCCTCTTTGGGTCCTCATTCTGCCCCTCTGGGGCTTCCACAACATGAAGTCAGTTTTGTTTATGGATCCTAGTGAACCAGAGATAGGGGTTTCCCCCGAGACATTCCAGGGGTGGCTGCGATCAAAAAGAGGAAATGTTTTACATTTATTTTTATTCACTGGAGTCCCAGCCCTCAGAACCAGGAACAAGGGGAAATTACCAAGAGGCAGATTTAATATCTATAAAAGGAAATAACTTCATACTTTGATAACACTTCAAGGTTTGCAAAATACATTCTCTCAGTATCCTGGGAGAAATCTTATTTACTCTAATTTTACAGATAAGGAAACTGAGGCCCAGAGAGCTTAAGTAATGTAGTCAAAGTCATATTTCAATAGTGCTCAAAGGTCTGCAAAGCATTTTCTACCTAACCCCTTTGTAAGCCCCGTGATGCAGGCAGAGTCACCCCCGTATTACAGGTGAGGAAACAGAGGTTCAAAGTCTAGATGACTTGACCAGGCTAATAAGGGTTTTGTGGAGGTGCATTTAAACTGAAATCTCTCAATTACAAATCCAATACCGTCTCTCCTGTGTTCAAGCATGGTGGTAGAGGGAGAATCTGGTTCTGAAGTCAGAGGACCCGGGTTCAAATCTCACCTCTATCACCTGTGTGACATAGAAGAAATCACCTGATGTCCTTGGGCCTTAGTTTCCTTAACTTCTGAGGTCCTTGCCTCAGAGAGGCAGCTGGTAGTACTATGGATAGAGCTCTGGGCCCAGATTCAGAAAGACCTGAGTTCAAATCCAGCTTCAGATATTTACGAGCTATGTGACCTTGGACAAGTCACTTAACCTGTTTGCCTCTATTTCCTCAACTGTAAAATGGAGGTAATAACAGCACCTACTCTGTCATTGTGAGGATCAAATGAGATAATTTTTTAAAAGCACCTGACACACAGTAATAAATGCTTATTACCTTCTTTTTCCCTTCTCTTCCAGCTCTCAATCTATGACCACTGCTTGCTGCTCATTTCTAGCAATGAGAATTGCCCCAAAGTGGAAAATCCTTCCTCTGGAGGTAGAGCGCTCCCCATCCCTGGAGGTATTCAAGGAGAGAGACTGGATGATCACTTGAAAGAGACATCTTAGAAGGGACTAATAATAAACATGATAGCTGATACATAGAAGGCTTCAAAGTTTGCCAAGCACTTTACAGACATTAGCTCACTTGGGTCTCATAATAGTTCTGTACAGGGAGGATTTTCAGGTTTTGTTACCTCCATTTTTACAGATGAGGAAACTGAGACCCAGAGGTGGAGTGACTTGCCTGAAGTTACACAGCTAGTGTCATAGGCAGGATTTGAATTCAGGTCTTCCTGACCCCAAGTCCATCTAGGCACGGGTTGAACCAGATCACCACTAAGGTCCTTCCCAATTCAGAGATCTTAGGACTCTCTGAGCTCTCCTCAGGGGCTTCACTGGGTCGTGGGAATGTTCCTGGGCTCTCTGGCCCTCAGATGACTGAGTTCAGGCTCTGGCAGGTCCTGCTAAGCTGGAAAGGCTTTGAGAACAGTCCAGCAACAGACTATAATATATCTCTGTGGTCAAAGGGCAGCTAGATGGTACAGTGGGTGGAGCTCTGGGCTTGGAATCAGGAAGAAGTGAGTTCAAATTCTGTCTTAGACACTTATTATGTATGATCCTGGGTAAGTCACTTGACCTCAGTCAGCCTCAGTTTCTTCCTTTGTAAAATGGGAATAATAATAGCACCCGAACTCACTTCTCAGCGTTATTGTGAGAATCAAATGAGATAATGAATGTGCAGTGCTTTAAGAATGTTGTGATGGTGTTAATGATGCTATGGCCTCAGAAAGAGTTGTTTTGGCATTACTTGGTATTAGATCAGAGGGTATCAGAGCTGGGAAGAACCTTAGAACAGAGAATGTTAGAGCATTGTACAGGAAGGATGGGGAGAGATTAAGAGAGGGAGGTGTGTCCCCCACCCACCCTAGAGGGTCAGAAAGAGTTAAAGACTGCCTGTATGCTTGTATCAACTAGACCACCACCGTCTGTCACCTGTTTTTTAACTTGAAATTAACTTCCCCTCAATCAGTTAGTAGTATATAAGTTTACTGTCAGTGGGGAAGAGTCAGGGTTCTCATGCTACTACTCCATTGGGCTGAGGGTTGCTTACAGAGAAAATGAATCAATAACTTGATTTGTTCTTTGGGGTCTCAGACCCAAAAGTAGGGCCAAAGGGTGGAAACTGCAGGGGGCCACTTCCAGACTCAGGGTCAGGGGAAACATTCTAATAATTAGTGTTGTCCAAGAGGGTGGGCAGCTTTGGGAGCTGGTGGGAGCTTGATGTCAGTGGAGAACAAGCCAAGAATGGAGGGCTGGCTCCTTGTTGGGGCTGTGTTACAGAGAATCTTCAGGATAGGTGGGGCTAGATGGTCACTGAGGTCCCTTGCTTCTGCATTCTGTGATTCCTTGAATTTTCATGGGTTGAGGGAGAAGCTTCTTTCAAAGTCCTTCAGGTGTCATATTGAAAGGTATCATAGACCTTTGGGATAGGACTCATCACTAGAATACAGCTTTGGATGTACTTAAAGCAAAGAGAATTGACAAAGTGAAGGGTGCTGTGTACTCAAACACTCCAACGGGTCTGTGATTTCATTGTTTCGGATAGTCTTTCCAACAATGCACATCTCAACTCATCATGTGTTCCCATCCTGTGCAACTTTTGTCCCCACTGTCCCATAAGTTCCTTGCTCAGGGTCTATCTGGAACTCTTGGCTCAAAGAGCCGATTGTATGGGATTTTCTCCTCATTGGTGGGGATTGATTAGGCAATGCTCTGGAGGCTGGAGTTGGGAGAGCTAGAGGAGAGAAATTTTCTCTTCCTTCTGTTCTTCTGGTTTCCTGTGTCCAGAGAGAAGCCCTGCCATTCCCCACCATTCCCCACCATTCCCTGCCATTCCCTGTCATTCCAACTTCTCTTTAAGTCTTTGCAAGGAGAGGAAGATGGTGGGAAGAAGTTGACATGTAAAGAAGCTGGCAGCCTTGGCCTCCATCATGTCCCTATTCCCAGCTTGCTACACTGGAGACTTCAGGGAGTTTCCCCTTAGGTGAGATCTGGGACTCTCTCTCTTGGTCAAGTTATCTCTCTGACAATGGAAGAGTTTCTTCACTCTGTATTGCCTGGTATACATTCTTTTATTTATGCTTTCTCTGATTTTTGTTTGTTATCTGTTTGGATAAGTGGGTTTATTTCCTATTTGTTATGTGTATTTATGGTGAAACTGGCATTTGATGGGAAGGAAATCTAGCCTTGGAGATATCTATATCCAATATTATATATAAAAATATAATGTATACATATACCCAAAGATATATACATATACACACATACATATACATACACATGCATCTATACACATACACACATATATACATACATACTACATACACACATACATACACATACATGTAGCTTGGGACCCTCCTTTCCTTTTATGGAATACTGATCAGGAGTGTCATTTGAACCTACAAATGACTTCTAGGATAACAGTATTTAAGGGAGCAGATGGATATCTGCATCTGGATCTGGATAATTTTAGCCTCTCTCTGAGGAGCAGAGACTGACTCCAACCTCCTGTTTTCCCTCCTTGGCAGGAGTCAGTTTTTCTTGAAGAAGAATGGGAGAAGGAGGTGCTAGAAGTATCTGTTCCTGCCTTTCTGTGAGCCATATCTAGATAAACCAATGCGGATACACATAACTTACATGAGCAAAATCAAAATCATCCCCACACTGCTACCCCTCATATATAAAGCCTTCCTTATTCCTCCTGACAGCCGGAAGATCCCAGTGGAATACCTGGGCTCTCTGCTTGCCATCTCTCTTCCTTTCCACATGACCAGCCCTCTTTTGACCATACATTTCCCTGGTGAATTCTTTACATGGATTGACCTTCAAAGTCCCATATTTGTTGTGTTATAGGTGGCTTGCACCATTTTTAATTGTTTGTAGACTGTAGTGTTCTATGACTAACAGTAAAAAAATAACACTCTCAGAGAATTTATACTAAAAAAATGAGCCTTTGTTCCAGGGAGAAGTCTGGGATCATGAAAGCAGATTTGTATTTTCCCAAAGAAAATGTAGCCCACATTCTTCCTCTTCTTGAGTTCTAGGCCCAACTCATTGTTCATTGGTAACATCTATCCCAGCTACATATACTCACAGACAAGTCCATACTGATGACATATTCTACATGTTCAAACCTGAATGGTAGACATTTTTATCCATTTGGTTTTTTTTTGTTTTAAATTTTAAAATTTTGTTTTTTTCAATTATCTGTAAAGACAATCTTTAGTATTCATTTTAAAAAATATTTTATTTTTTCCAATTCCATGTAAAGACAATTTTAATATTAATTTAAAAAAATTGAGTTCCAAATTCTCTCCCTCCCTCCTTTCCTTTCACCCTCCTTGAGGTGGTAAGCAATTTGATATTGGTTATACATACATAATCATGTGAAACATAGTTCCATATTAGTTATTATGTGAAAGAAGACACAGACAAAAGAACTCCCAAGAAAAATAAAGAAAGTGAAAAATAGTATGCTTTGATTTGCATTCAGTCTCCTTCAGTTCTTTCTCTGGAGGCAGATGGCATTTTTCATTATACGTCCTCCAGAATTACCCGGGATCATTGTATTGCTGAGGACAGCTAAGTCACCCACAGTTGATCATCATACAATGTTGCTGTTACTGTGTACAGTATTCTGGTTCTGCTTACTTCACTTTGTTTCAGTTCATGTAAGTCTTTCCAGGTTTTTCTGAAATCAGCCTGCTTGTCATTTCTTATAGCACAATAATATTCCATTCCATTCGTATACCATAACTTATTTAGCCATTCCCCAATTGCTGGCTGTCCCTTCAATTTCCAATTTTTTGCCACCACAAAAAGAGTTGCTATAAAGAATTGGAAATTGAGAGGATACCCATCAATTGGGGAATGGCTGAGCAAGTTGTGGTATATGAATGTAATGGAACACTATTGTGCTATAAGGAATGATGAACAGGCTGACTTCAGAAAAACCAGGAAAGACTTGTGTGGTCTGATGCTGGGTGAAGTGAGCAGATGTGTGATGACTAATATTGATAAACTTAACTGTTCCCAGCAATACAAGGATCTAAGACATCTCCAAAGGCGTCATGATGGAAAATGCTATCCACATTCAAAGAAAGAGCTATGGAATTTGAATTGCTATTTTTTTTCTCTTCTATTGAGTTTTGTTTCCTCTTTCTGGTAGTTCCTCTTATTGGTTCTAATTTTTACTTACAACATCACTAATGTGAAAATATGTTTAATAGGAATGTATATGTATAGCCTATATCAGATTGTGCAATGTCTTGGGGAGGGTGGTGGGGAGGAGGGGGGAGAGAAAAATTTTAAACTCAAAAGTATTGAAAGTGATTGTTGATAAATCAAAATAAATTAATAAAAATTTTTAAAAAAGAATTGCTATAAATATTTTTGCATAAATAGGTCCTTTTCCATTTTTTTGGATCTCTTTGGGACACAGATCTAGTACTGAAATTGTGGGATCAAAGGGTATATATAATTTTATAGCCCTTTGGACATAGTTCCAAATTGCTCTCCTGAATGGTTGAATCAGTTCACAACTCCACCAACAATGCATTAGTGTCCCAATTTCCCTGCATCTTCTCCAACATTTGTCATTTTCTTTTTCTGTCGCATTAGCCAATCTGATAGGTGTGAGGTGGTACCTCAGAGTTTTAATTTGCATTTCTCTAATCAATAGTGATCTATAGTATTTTTTCCATATGATTATAGATTGCTTTGATTTCTTCATCTGAAAACTGCCTATTCATATCCTTTGATCGTTTATCAATTGGGGTTAATGTTCATTTTTAAAAATTTTGAGTTCCAAATTCTCTCTCTCCCTCCTTACCTCCTCCTTGAGAAGGCAAGTGATTTGATACAGATTATACATGTATGATCATGCAAAACATATTTCAATATTAGTCATGTTGCAAAAGAAAGCACAGACCAAACTTCCCTCCCCCCCAAGAAAAATAAAGTTAGAAAAAAGTATGCTTTGATCTTCATTCAGACTCCATCATGCATTCTCTGGAGGTAGATAGCATTTTTCATCA